GGGGTTACTATTGTGATGAATTTGTTAATATGGTTAGAGGTGAGTTTAGCTCTAATATGTAGTTTTGAATATGTGCCAAAATGTGAGTTTTTAGGTAAGAGTTTTTGGTAATTTTTTTTTTATATGTTTGTCACAGTCTTTAATTCAGTATGAGTACCAGTTCCTTGATGTAAAAATATTGCATAAAAGAATAAGTTGTTTTAAGGATGACAAAAAAATCTGTCACATAATTTCAGCGAATATATATTTAAAAAACAAAAACTTCTGAACCCCATAATTCATACTTATAGATTTACTGAGCTCATAACTTAATTATTTTGCTTGCTCGCTATTCCTGAAATTGTGAAATTGCTAAGTAATTATTGAGTAATATTACAGCATTCAGCATGAAGAACAAATCAGAAATTAGGTGAAATCACTCATTATTGCTTAGTAATGGTATTTATCTAAGACTAAAATTGTTTGAGTGTAAATGTTTAGAAAAGAATGACCAGATAACAGTATTTAACAAAGACTAAAACAGACTGAGTGTAAATGTTTGGATAAGAATGGCCAGATAATGCTATTTATCTAAGACTAAAACAGATTGAGTGTAAATGTTTGGATAAGAATGACCAGATAATGCTTTTATCTAAGACTAAAACAGATTGAGTGTAAATGTTTGGATAAGAATGACCAGATTAATGCTTTTATCTAAGACTAAAACAGATTGAGTGTAAATGTTTGGATAAGAATGACCTGATTAGTCAAATGAATTGTAATTTTGATGGTACATAAAGTCTAGAAAATATTTATGTCTGGAATTTTCTGGTGAACAAGAGAAGGTATTTGCATTAACTAAAATTGTTTCTGCACTGTGTGAAAACTTTTATTTATTGTAATAAAGATTTTGTCCATGCATTGTATGAATTGTTTTTAGATCCTCCTGGTTTTGTGGATGTTTCAACATCAATATCAACACCACAGTTGTTTATAAATCATGAAAGAATTATCAGGTAAGTGTTGAAACCATGTATTGTAATTTACATCTAAGAAATTTATAAATTTTTCAATTTCTGTCAAGTGTGTGAAGAAGGTATCAAGTGTTTAAATAAACTGAATTGAAATATAATTTGATCTCAACAGAATTACTTGTGTATTGTTATTACGAGAACTATTAAAATTATGGTATAAGTTATGAAATGGTCATGTAAATTATTGTGTTATCAACATATTCCTAGCAGTCGCTCCTTTATCTTTAACATTATGAATTCTCCACTGATTAATGAGAAGGGGTGGCTTGAGATTAAAGTTTCAAAATACAAATAAAAAATACGGTTTGGAAGATTAGCAGAGAGATAATAACCTGCAGTGTTAAATTTAATTTTTCACTGTGGAAAACACATATGTTCCATCTAACACTAAAGACATGAAACGTATATCTAATTTTAGCCTTAAATTATTGTAATTACAAATATTGTTAAAATAGAGGGTGTTGGGAATGGCTGACAGAAACTTTTGTTTTTCCTTTAGTGAAGTTTTATTCTTGGAAGATTCAGCAGAAACCAAAGTTTTAAGTCATCTATTATAATAATACTCAGGTTTTGTTCTGAAAATAGACGTGCACCTTACTATCTAAACGTGCATGCGCGCACACTTCATTTCAATGGCCATAAAAAAAAAAAGGTGGATATAAATATACTCCAGTAGACATTTTGTACAACATATTAAAAGCTTGTCAAAGTTTTTAACAAGTTCTAACATTAGGTCATAGAATAACATTATAAGTTTATTTACTGATGGTATTAAGTACAGTAAAGTTTAGCCCTAATTAAACTAAAGCAAAAAACATACACATGTTGCAGTGTTATTTTATCTCTGTATCGAATACCATACTTAATAAAGGCTTAACTAATGTTAGGCCTAAGACAAATAGACTTGTAGATTTCAGTGTCTGTGATTAAAATTCTTTTGTACTATTTTAGAAATCCTGTAGTTAAAAAAAAGTACTGTTGCAATAGAGATACTAATTTGACCACAAATGTTTTGCAAGTCTCTGTTAGTTGTAATTAATTAAGGTTTTGTTTTTTGGTGTGGATTGGCCCTGTGGTAGAGATTTGATAATCTGGGTTCAAATCTTTCCAATATCACAAAGTACTCCCTGCACTTCAAGTAGTGGGTGCATTATAAGAATAACAATCAATCCATTAGCATAGGTTGTTGGATGAGAGGGTGCTGCTGACCAACTAAATCATACAAACATCAACGAATAAAAACACCAATAAATCATACAAACATCAACGAATAAAAACACCAATAAATCATACAAACATCAACAAATAAAAACACCAATAAATCATACAAACATCAACGAATAAAAACACCAATAAATCATACAAACATCAACGAATAAAAACACCAATAAATCATACAAACATCAACGAATAAAAACACCACTAAATCATACAAACATCAACAAATAAAAACACCACTAAATCATACAAACATCAACGAATAAAAACACCACTAAATCATACAGACATCAACGAATAAAAACACCAATAAATCATACAGGCAATCAACAAATAAAAACACCAATAAATCATACAGGCAATCAACAAATAAAAACACCAATAAATCATACAAACATCAACGAATAAAAACAATCACTAACTCATGCAGACATCAACAAATAAAAACACCACTAATTCATGCAGACATAACTAAATAAAAACATCACTAATTCATGTAAGCATCACCAAATAAAAACACCACTAATTCATGCAGGCATAACTAAATATAAACATCACTAACTCATGCAAACATCACCGAATATAGCACCACTAATTCATTTTTGTGTGTAAAGGTAATTAACCTAAAAGTCAAATAAACATTTTTTATTCATTCTTTAACTTTTGTTTTTGCAAAATAAATAAGACCACATGAGAATAGTGACAAAATTATTTCTCTACATGTACACCACAAACCGAAGTGTGTAGGTACGTATGTTTCGATATAAAGAAATATCCGATACTTGATATTTTGGAAGTTTTTTTTCTTAACAAAATTATTTTTTACTGGAAACGAAAAAAAATTAGTAGAACAATGTTTGTTAACAATCCTTCAGAGTTTCAAGTGTTTATGCTTGAAGATACCGTGAAATATATAAAGTAAAGTTATGAATTGCAATATAGACCATCCACTTCTTCCATTTTGTTCCCCAGTGGCTCAGGAGTAAGTCTGAAGTCTTGTGCTAAAATCGGGTTATGATACCTGTGATGAGCACAGCACAGATAGCCCATTCTGTAGCTTTGTACTTAACTATAAACAAATCTTCCATTTTGAACCATACAGCTGGTAGAAAGGTACCTTTGCTATGTGCTGCATTAAATATGACTTTCATTTGATGTCAACTGTCTATGTATTTTGTTACTGACTTTCTTGTTCACATAAGCTGTCACTTGGTGGTAAAATTCAAATTGCTGCCAAACTCGATCCATTCATCTAGTTATTTATCCATTTAAGCTCAATATTTGTGGGTCCACATTAGTTCCTCTACCAAATATCATCAAAATTAATTCAGCCAGTTCCTCATAACTACTTGTGACACAAGACAGAGAAGTGGACACCACCATCATGGCACATTACTAGATCAAGTTCTACCAGTAGGAATGGGGGAAAAAACGAACAATAAGTGTTCTGCATATCTGTCTTATAAATTAAACATAACTCGCTACCTTTTTTTATTTTATTTTTTTAGAGATGCTGAATCTCCAGAAACAATAATCTCTTCTTCATCACCCGAATGTGAAATGGTTGACCCTCCAGAAATATTTCCAGGATTGCTTTTGATCAGTGGTGATGAGTGTTCCCAAAGAGAGAGGTTAACTTGTTCCCCTGTAGCTCCCATTGTAGCACCTATTCCAGTGAGAGGTATGTTTTATGGGATAATACATATAAATGAGTATACTGTATGAAATATAATACAGTAACTATTAATGTAATTTTCACATGAAATACTGTATTATATTGTAGTGAAATTTATTTTTGCATTCTTCCCAATGTTTATAGATAAGAAAAGCTCCATTTTTTGCGATTAAGCTTTTAGTAGCCCATACTCTGAGGATGCAAAATATGTAGTACTAAAGCAAATGTTTCTTAGAGTTTGTGGTTTTTATTGCTATGATTATGCTCTCTGTGTATGTTGATTAAGTGCTGAATAATTACAGAATAAAATATTCTATTTTGTCATTTAACAGCTTTAATGAATACAACTGATGAATCACCATCCTCAGCATCAGATAATGATGAAGAAAAGGTAAGTTTTTTATTATGTGTTTGTTTCATCTTTATTATTTTTCTTCTTAAGTTGTAAGAGGAAGAGGAGAATTAACAAGTACTGGTGATGGTCAATCTTATAAGGACAATTAGATAAAGTCTACTTTCCCAACCACACCCATCTACTTCATTTCATACGGGATGACTGGCTCAGTTCTTGCTTGATTATTAATTTTATGAAGTTGTTCAGAATACACTGAACCAAAATGTCCTATTTGAGTTCATCCTTGTAAGAACTGTAGCATTTTATTTTTTTTAAATCAATCACAGTGCACAGAATTTCAAATAAAGAATATAGAAACGTAGATATGGGAAACAAAGGTGTTTTAGAGATTTCCTATTATATTAAAAAGTAATTAATAAAGTTCAGATTTTTAGTGTATATTTTTAAGACAACCAGAAATAAGTAATTTCCTGTAATATAGCAGAAATTATAATTAGTTTGGTCTGTGAAAGCATTTTAATGAATAGTATTTTAAATATTAATAATATTATTTAAAAACTATTTGAGTGTTATTCGGTTTTGGATAAATTTTATACTGATGTATTTAAAGAGTGACAGTGAAGAATACGTGGAAAACTTCTTTTCAGAATAAAGAAAATGTGATAAAAGCAAAGAATCGACATGAGATGTTTGTCAACAAGACTAAAAAGCTACGATTGGGCAAAAATCCTGTTCCACTTAAAGACTCTGGCAATGTTGCAGTGACTTTGACCTTGTCTTCATCTGAATCCGATGACGTTCAAGGAGTTCTTAATGCACTGGCTGACTTGCTAAAGATACCTCGTCCAACTACTTTTGAAGTTGATTGTACTCCTACTTCTCCTGTGCAGAAGCTTGGGCTTTACAACAAAGGTATTAAAGAAAGTATATGTATGTGAGCATGTGTAAGAACAATGGAAATTGAAGAAAAGATAAAAACAGGGATTCTTAGGAGTGGACCGGAAAAAATAACCAGAAAAGTTAAATTGTGTTAAAAATATTATATATATTCAATCCTACAATTTGACATGTTATAATAACAAAAATATACAATATATAAAGTGATGTATTCATTATGACCTTGATTTTAATATTTTTTGCTGTTATGTACTCTGTTCATAGCCAAACACTCAACTATCAAGATTCATGAATCACTGTTAGATGTGAAACCCCGATTTTGTAGGCATTGTGACATTGCTGTAGTTGGTGCAGGCATTCAGAAGAAGGCTTCTGAACTTCCCTACATTTCCAAAGATGAATGGGTAAGATTTATTTAATGGAATATACGTTATTCCTGGCATGTTTTATCATAAAGGTAAATTGTTTTAGTAAAATACTTACTTTCTTAGTAGTTTGTGTGGCATTCTCAGGTTAAGAACTGGAGTAAACAATATCACATGGAACTGGATGACCTGCCTTTGTGTTCAGATTGGTGCTTGTTAACTACTTAAGCACAAGGGAAATACTTCACTAAATGAACTCAGGTCCTGATATGGTATTTTACAATCCAAGGTGATCTTTCTCATTATACCTTTTCAAGGGAAGATTCATTTACAGGGCCTGGTGGTTAGGGAGTTTGACTCACAATGTGCGTGTCTCATGATCAAAACCTGTCACCAACATGCTCAACCTTTTCAGCCAAGGGGGTGTTATAACATGATGGTCAATCTTACTATCAATTAATAAATAGTAGTAAAAGAGTTTGAAGTAAGTGATGTTGATTGCCTACCTTCAAAATTAGGTACAGCTGGTGCTGAGAACCCTCAAGTAGCTTTGTGCAAAACCTGACAAACAAATTAATCTGCAGCTCATGGTAACCTGTACAAATCTATGCACCATTCCTTCACATTGGTAACCTGTACAAATCTATGCACCATTCCTTCACCTTGGTAACCTGTACAAATCTATGCACCATTCCTTCACCTTGGTAACCTGTGCAAATCTATGCACCATTCCTTCACCTGTGTTACCTGTACAAATCTATGCACCATTCCTTCACCTTGGTAACCTGTACAAATCTATGCACCATTCCTTCACCTGGGTATGACACACAAATCATAAAAGAAAAATACAGAATTGTTACCAAATAAATTATTTATACTATGGAATGACACTGTGGCATGCAGCAATACTCAAGACAAGGTCTAAAATAGACATAGCTATTTACATCCTACTTATAAGGAAATTAACAAAGTGAAGAACACCAAAATAAAAAATTGTTGAAAAAATACTCCTGAATATACCTCCAAAAGGACATTTTTCTCTAGCTATAGAAGTGTAAAATCTAGCATTTTTCAACTTCTTGAAGCATTTCTTACAAATCCTGTGAGCTCCAAAATTATTATTTAATGGTTTAAGATCTCTGCATCTGTTGACTTGAATATAAATTTTTCTGTATCTCTCGTGATAGATAGAAAGATGTATTGAATTATAATACAATTTTTGATTAATTTGCTAGAATATAAAAACTAAAGTAACGTTACCCCTGGTTGATATATTTCAATTTCTTAAAATTATTGAAGAGTATCAAACTTGATATTTATTAAGTGCTGTAATAGTATGATTTTCTGGTGATTTCTGCACAAGTATCGAATAAATCCGCAGAGTTGACCAAGAAATATGTGGATATTTGAAAACCTGACTGAGTTTTCTAGTGTGTGACATGATGAGGCTGGACAAGTAATGAATATAAGAAGCAAAATTTTTATTACAACTAAATAAAATAAAAATGCAGCATATGAACAATAAGACTGTTGCTCGTACAAGATTGTGATTAGATCCACAGCTGTCTCTCTCTCTGAATAGATCCCTGTATAGCTAAACTCGGTAATCTCCGAAAAGTAATTGAACTTTTGGATATCCAGGTGTAACTGAACTAAAAAACAAAAGTACAAGTTAACAGGTAACCTTTGTTTCTTTGTTCAGTCAACAGCACACCTTATGAATCTTGTTCTTTCACATCATTTACTGGCTGTAATATATATACAGATGTCGTACATTTTACTAGTATTCCCTAGGGCAGTACTTCTTAAACTTTTTCAATGCCATTCACCCTTATGTCAGTATCACAAAGTATCATTCACTGGACTTCACTTCTTTATTATTTGTTTATGTTCCATTTTCCTTTCTCCATATATACAATTAAAGGTTAAGTGTCATGCACAGAAAGTAATGAATGACTATCAACATACACCAGTTAGCAAAATAATTTCTTATAATATAACAAAACAGAAAATAATGAATGACTATCAACATACACCAGTTAGCAAAATAATTTCTTATAATATAACAAAACAGAAAGTAATGAATGACTATCATTACACATTTTTAAACATGTTTGTAACACCAATGACTGGGGTGTTCCTGCATTCCTGTGACAAGCTTCTGGAATTGAGGCTCAGTTTCCTTCTCCAAAGCACAGAAGCAAAATTTTTTAAGGGTCACAAAATGATTTGTAATTTTTAATCTGAATCTATTAAAACAGTTATTTTCAACCCATACGAACCAAGCACAAATCCTGATACTTCATTCTACTTTAAATCATTCACACCTAAGATTCCATTGACTTTAAAAAAAAATTTCTTTTACCACTTGGTGAACCATTCACCAGTTTAAGAAGCTACTTATATAACTAAAAGCAAGTAGAAAGTCTATGATATGTCTGCATATTAAAGTAATAATAATAATAATACTCTAGTTTTTGAACTTGATATTTGCTCAGTTTTAGAGGTCTGATTTCTTTAGTGATCTTTTGTTTGTATTTTTATAATTTAGGAATATATAAAAAAACATTCTGTACGTGAGCAATGTTAATGGTAAAACCTAAGTTTTCAAAATATTAAATACAATGTGAAATAAATGCATAAAAGGCAAAATTTATATTATTTAATAATTTCTGTATAAGGTAAAGATCCTAACAGTCTTGATTGTAAAAATAAGGATATTTTAAAGATGATTTTGAATGATGTTTTTAAATATAAATTATAACATCTCTATAGGAAAACGATGAAGTTACTTTTTGCAGCACTGACTGCTATGTTCAATTTGCTCTGACGCACAAATCAGCATCATCTTCTGAACAAAAGGTATACATTGATTTATTATTCTTTTCCTCACTTTTACTTTTAAGAGTTTGAATTTTGAGTTTCTTTGGACTTTAACGAGCTCATTTGTGAAACATTGCAAGAAGTGGAGATTAAAATATTATAGTTTACATGTACAATATAGCTCAGATGAATTTACCTACAAACCTACAGTTGTAGTACGAATATCCTGTAATAATTTGTTATTTATACATCATTATAAAAGAAATTTGTTTGCTGTTGAATTTAGAGTGAAGAACTGTTTTATCATTTCTTACAGGAGACAACTGCTGTTGTTAGTCATCTTGGTAATGCTGCTCAATCAGAAAAATGTACCAGTGCTGTAGAAAACCAAGGAGCTATGTTCTTGGAAAACTGTTCAGGGTCGTGTACTGCGGAAGGTGTGGCCGAATCTGAAACTGAGAAACCTTGTAAGAACATTCTTCACGTGTCAGCTCAATCTTCTCCCACACTTGAAATAGAGAGAACAGAAGAACTAGATGTTATCCAAGATGATGAAAATGTTAGTGCTAAAACTGTAGAAGAAGAAGTAGTGCATGATCAGTTTATGTCTTTGGAGGAAAAGACAAAAACCAGTATCAGCTCTGATGTTTCCAGAGCCAAAAAGCACAGTATCCTAGACAAAAAGGAGGTTTGTATAGCAGTATTATGTACGTTTTATTGACAAGAGATTTTATTAAAAGTGGTGACCTCATAAGTGAAGAAGTCTAGTCATAGAAATAAAAATCTGTGAAGTAATATTTAAGGTGAATGCAGTGATATCATAAGCCAGGAAACATTTAGCACAATCTATTAAAGCTGGGCAAGTAAGTCAATTAATTGATATATTTGAGTATATGTGAGCATTGATTAATATCACAAAATAAACAAGTAATCAAAATTAGGGTTTCTAATTGTGCTAGAACGAGACCAGTGGCATTATCCATGATGTACCTCAGTGTTCAGTTCTCAACATGCAATAACCATTTTATTAATTGACCTTATTAGTGAACGGTAAATATTGGATAGCTTGTATGGGATAAAATGTTAATATAACAATTAACAAATAAATATATATGTATGTTTTCGTTTTGCAGGATTCTGAACCACTATCGAAAAAGTGGCACGGTTTGCGATGGAAGTTTTGGAAGGACAGTTGTTCATATAAAACATATAAAAATCTATCTGAAGAAGACCTTGGGCAGGTAAATTCTGTAGTAGTGGATAAAGTTGAAAAATAAAATAGCTAAATAAATTTTAAATTTATAACAAGTACACAATACACAATTGGTGGTATATATAAGTAATGGATGTTAGACAGTGTAAGGGTCGATTTTCAACAATTTAAAAATATATTTGTTTTACTTCTTTGTCAAAAATGAAATGCTGCTCATGAAATGAAGAACACAGTTTAGTCTAATGTAAATTAACCAAAAGGTTTTTTGTTGTGACTACAGAAGAGTATGGTATCATTGTGCTGTAGAACCTGGTTGGAAACTGGTTACTCCAATATAAGTTGTAAAATTATCAAGGACTGTCATCTGTGCTTCAGTTGGGGTCACTTAACTGGGAGTCCTGAACAGAGAGCTCAGTTTTTTGTTCTGTTGTTTTAAATCCTTCGTGCCTCTCAACAACTGACGTGTATGAAACATACAACTTGAACATTGTTTTTGAATTAAGTGTCAATTGACTACTTTTTTTGTTGTTTTTACACCTGTTTTCTTCTCAACAGTTAATGGTTACATAATTACAACTTGAACAATGTTTCTTAATTAAGTGTTAATCAACCAAAGTTTACTTGTTGTTTTTTTTCTGGTCAACTTTCAAAGTTTTGTCATGGAAAATAATCCTTAAGCCTCATCGGTAGATTATGTCAGAAAGTAGTAAGGTCTTTCTTTTGGTAATGAAATGTACATCATAACGGAGACTAATATAAGTTTACTGTGGAAGATATTAAAACTCAGAGTAAAACTCTATGTAACATTAGGTTTTTGAACACACTAAAATATGATTTAAGTTCCAGCAAATCAGCTTGAAATTGATGAAGTCATGAGGAAAGCATGAAAATTGGCATACACAGAGATTTTCTTGCAGAGCAAGACCCATCATAATTCTTTCCCCAAACAGCAACTATCTCAGATTTCATTATGGCCACCATAAAAAACCAACGTTACTCAACTGTGTATGCTTCAAATGCACATAGAAATGACATCTAAGTATTTAAAATTTGGCATACATTTCAATTTGATATGGAAATTTATGTAAAAGCAAGACCCATCATAGATCTTTTTTTCCAAGTAGCCACCATATTGAATTCTAACATGGCCATCATCAAAAATCAGCTTTGTGGAAATCTATGTTTTTAATGTCCATAGAAATGTAATCTTAATATCCAAAACTACATTTTACTGATCAGAGAGTTTGGATATATCACTTAATGTGGTGTATGAAGCTTTCTAGTTTCAATCTGGCTATTACTTAATGTTTAAAACACTTATAGAACAATTAGCATTGTGAATCTATCTGATAGATTGCATCACACAGCAGTATGATCTTAGTCATCTTTCCCGATCTTAGAAAAACATTTATATTTGAACCACATTTTAAGATAAGTTATTGTCTCTAAATTGGCATGCAATGTATAATCTAGCAAAATAAAAAGGTTGCCGTTGCTCTTCAAAACAGAAATCTGTGCATGGGTCTTTCATTGTGGCTTGTGAGGAGTTGAAAGAAGTGGCAGATCATGTCAGTTATTTGTGTGGAACATTGTTCTAATTGCTTATTCATGTAGGTCTTATGTTGTGACTGTCCTAGTTGCTAGACACATTACACATAATACACTACAGAAACAGGCATTGCATCCCTTTTGTCAAGTACTGTCTTCTTTGAATGGGTTGTTGAATTCCTCTATGTCTGATACAAGAGCTTCAATATCATTTGCGAAGACTTTTTGCACACTGTACATGTACTCATGATGGTATACATTATCATCTCATGTTTGCAACAAGCCAGATTCAGTGTTTGATTGATCTTGCTATTTCTTGTCCAGTGTCTTAGACATGCAGAATTCATAGTATTTTCTCACAGCCTCCACATCTCTTTTGACCACTTTATTTTCCTGTTTATGATTTTTGGTCCAGTGCTATGAGTGAAAAGACATGCATGGATATTTGAACGGTAAACTTTATCTTCTTGAATTCTTTTAACGTTTCAGTATAGTTCACTGGCAAAGACCATCATGTCCTTGATGTGTTCAGGAATCCAATAGGCATAGTTTTTATATCCATTGTGACCAAGCATGGAACAACTTGTCCTAAGAAATAATCATAGAATTGCTTTCTCAGTGGGATCTTACATATTCCATGACCATAAGCTCCAGGTCCAGGATTATGGACCACTACATAAATTATGAATACTTTTTCAGAGTGTTATTTAGTCCATGTTAGAAAGTCCAATAGTTCACTGTAGTCTGAGTCTGCATAAGCTCTGTAAGCATTTGACTGCAAGACATACAGTTGGACATATTTTCATCTGTCTTTTCTTGTCACGGTGCACGAGAAGTCCAAACAGTAACTTGTTTTTGGTATTCACTTTTCCTGGTAGTAGGTGTTATTTGCATTACCTTGTTATGTAAAGACATTCCGCTTGCTGTCATCTGTAAATTGAAAATCTACATTAGGCTAATACCACCACCACAAAGTTCTGACTAGTGTTTCCTCTAAGCTGTGCGGCCACACAACAACCAATCAAGTGCCACGCACTTCATTACCCTCAGTAATGGTCAGGAGTCTCAACACATTGACGGCCTTAATGACCATAATAGTCAATAGCCTAAAGCCCAAATAACCAACTGGTGGCATTGCAAAGCAGCCTAATGATCCAATAGGTCAATGGTCTAACCCCCCCCCCCCCCCCAAAAAAAACTAAATAAATAAATAAAACTGGTAGTGCACATGGATTAAAAAAGATTAGAGGGAACGTTGGTTCTGACTTGCATGCAATTACATCTATTAAATTCATTGTGGAAAGGAATATTGCAGAAACCATTCACTGGTGAATTATTGTTAACTAATGCCCTTTTAAGTGTACATAATTTAAAAGAATCAAAGTAATTTTATTATTTTGAATGTAGAAACAGTCACAAAAATGTGGTAACCAGATAGCAATGGTTAGCAGCAGATTGTAAATGAGATTTATATTTTAAATGTTAAAATCAAACTCGCTGGCCAAGAAAGTATGGCCTTAGACATTTTTATGGCTCGTGTATGTTAAAAGCATATAGTTATGGTGATATTTGATGGTGGCCACAATAACAGTCCATTACAGTAGCTGTTTGGGAAAAGGTCTGTGATGGGTCTTACTTTTATATGAACCTTCACATGTAATGTCATATCTACATGATATTTCTATGTTCATTTCAAGTGTAGTTGGATAATGTTATTTTCAGTGGTGGCTGTTTGGGAAAAGGTCTGTGATGGGTCTTACTTTTATATGAATTTCCTAATAATCTTTGCCAATTTTCATGCATTCCTTACCATTTGGGAAATTTTAACTGTCTTATCTGCTAGATTATTATTTTTAACCTTTAGTTTAGAAGGATGGTAATACATCAAATGTCCCTATTAATGTTGATGTTTAAATATATAAAAGCTCCTTCAGTTGTTTAAAATTATTCTGAACTGAAATTTGATGTGCAAAAGAATGAAATTTTAAAAAATTGGATATTGCTTTAATTGAAGGGAGAAACTAATAATTTAGAATGTTGTACAGATCTATCATTGATAAGCAGTATCATTATTTGACATGTATGTAGACATTTGACACTACATCTGTCTGTGTCAAGCCAAACGAGGGACTGAAAGATGAAAGAATGTGTGTTTTGTGTCATGAAGTAGGAGATGGAGACACGGAAGGCCCAGCCAGGTAAGAAATTTCAGCAAGATACTTGTATGCTTGTTGTGTAAGAACAGAATTCTGCTACTTCCAATTTTTTTTTTTTCTGTTTGTCCTACAATTCTGTAATGTGTAGGAGATCAAAAATACAGAAATATATATAAACCATTCTCAGATTTGTCTTTAAGTGCCTTCTGAAATTTGTTAGTATGTAAGTGCCTATTGGCTGTGAAACATCAGTCTACAGTTTTTTTATCCAATGAAAAACCACTGTGCTCACTCTGCTAAATATAGTGTATGTATTTTCATTTTAAAGATGTTTGTGCTTTATTTAAAGACAAAGTGCCCTAAATAATTATAGCCTTTAATTTATTGCCAAATCTAACTATTTTTTATTCATATAATCTTAAAAGGAACATGTTTTTATGTTTCTGTTACCTGTGATAAATAGTTTAAGTGAGAGAATAAGTGTTTTAATGTGTGTTATATTCAGCTTTTATGTCTTTGCAGATTACTGAATGCAGATGTTGAAAAGTGGGTTCACTTGAATTGTGCTCTTTGGTCCACAGAAGTGTATGAGACAGTGAATGGTGCTCTGATTAATGTAGAAACAGCCTTCAAACGAGCCATGGTGTCAGTTTGTGTACGATGCAAGATGGTTGGTGCTTCCTTACGCTGTTTCAAACCCAGGTGCACCAATGTTTACCACTTCCCATGTGCATTTCAGGAAAAATGTTCTTTTTACAAGGATAAGGCAAGTTCTTGATTACACCTAAAGCAGGATTAATTTATTATTGCACTTTTGACTCAAAGCATGAACTGTACTTGTCAAGGATTAGAACCCTCTTTCTAACAAAATATGATGCATTTTACATGACTGCCACCATGATTATGTTAAATAAAATCGGGTATATATATATATATTTAATATTGATTTAAAATACTGATGTATAACTCTATTTTGAGTATTTAAAATTGGATAAAGTTAAATTAGTAAAGCAAGTTAATCCTAAAACTATATAGT